AAAGGTATTGGCCCCAAAGACACCAACAGAGGCTTTTCCCTCGCAGGTCTTTCACCTGTCACTTCCAGGGCATCGCACGGCACCAAATGTAACTGGAGAGGAATAAGGTGGTCAGGCAGTTTGATTGCTGGTGACCAGATAGCACAGTTGGTAGAGCACCTGACTAGTGATTCAGGGGGTCTGGGTTCAAAATCCTGGTCTGGTCTGTCACATTTTTACCCCATCAGTTACTGTACAGCTATGAAGTGAAATCTTTTTCTGTTTTCTTAAAAGGAATAGTGATATTAGAAACTTGTTTTCCTCACAAACACTGATGTTCAATAAATTATTGGTTATTAAGGTTATTTCCTTCAGGAAGAAGTTATGTCATCCGATGTATTGATCAATATGGATTATAAAGACCAAGCTCTCTGAATTTGGAATGTTAAAAATTTTATGTCAGTGTACTTACTGAGTGTGTGGTTGTGATCCATTTACTCTTAACTACAAACAAAACACTTGTGTCAATTAAAAATGGTTAATGTTTTGGTTATTTCAGTGAAAGTGTCAATTAAAAATGGTTTATGTTTTGGTTATTTCAGTGAAAGTGTCAATTAAAAATGGTTAATGTTTATTTCAGTGAAAGTTGACAAAAATAGTATGAAAATTATCATTGAAGAAGAATATGAGGTAAGTGAACCACTAACCAGGTACTTCATACTAACGGTACTTTTATATCATCTTCACAATTTTCATATATTTATCTTATCTTTTATATGTTTATATACTGGTATAAATAACTTAACAAATGTACTACATATGAACTTTATTTACAAAACATGATATTTTTGAAATAGATTTGTTCTAACGTCATTTGAAACATGGTAGTTTGTTTGCTGTTCTTTGTTTGTTTGTTGTTTTTTTTTCCAAAAATATAAACTTGTTCTCTGACTAGCAATTGGGTTAAAAAATGATGCAATTATTAACTTAGATCTTTGAAACTTGTATGCCCCTTGGCAATCAGTCATTAATGAAATAAACTGAAAACTAATAAAAACAAATCGATCATATTTATAAAATGCTAGATGGATCTAACAGTAAATGAAATTCGTGACATTTTAAAAAACATAATAACATTTGTTTTCTACTTATTTACCCTGTAAAATGTCTATATATCTGAGTTACCGAGTAGCAGTTTTACTAACCGATTCTCACATCGTTCAAATTGTTTACTTGTACACCATGACAAATATTCTGAATTCCTGTGTCCTTGTTAAACCTTGATAAAACTTTGTCACGTGTGAGAGAAAGATATTTTATTTCATTTTTCTTTGGAAGAAAAAGATTACATGTGTAACTTTGATGTCTTAATTTCTTTTAGACAATTTCACAATCATGAAATATAATACTAGTGTAATTTAGTAATTGTGTTTATACTTTTAATATTGAGCAGAGACATTGATACTGTTTATGGTGGCATTTGTACTTAAAATATGTGTGTCAAAGCAAATACATTTGTTAATTTATTGAATACATTTAAATGAAAAGTTTTATACAATTTAGGATTGATACCAGCCCTATCATGTTGAAGGCATGCAGCAGTCTCAAACTTTTCCCAGTAAAATAAGCATTTATTTGAATTTTCCCAGCATATTCCAAGTACTGTTCTAGGATCAAATCAAATAAACTTGAGTCTTGACCCCTAATTGATACACCAATGCATTTTGTCCTCTGCCTCTATGACCTTTATAAGTTAAGTCTGTAACAACAGAGATAGTCAGTATCTGTGGATCATTGTACAGAATTAAAAAGTCATACTTGTAAGTTATAATATACTAGTTATTTATCTTTAAAAATAAGATGAAGGGTTTAATTAAGCATGTTACTTTATATTTAAGCATACTTATATACTTATCATTTTATTTGATTCCTGCAGGATTGTAATGTAGATGACCTACAAACAGAGTTACCAGTATCCCAGCCTAGGTACATTGTAATCAGCTATGTCAGACATCATGATGATGGTAGGGTGTCTTATCCACTCTGCTTTGTCTTCAGTAGTCCATCAGGTCAGTAGTAGTTCTCTTCCCATGGAGATGATCATGTGATATCAAAAATTTTAATTGCTAAATATATAAACTCAATATTGTAAATGTGGATATTTTTACCGGTAAACTTTTGTGATTTCCATGTAAAGAGCCTTTGCATTATTGGGTTATTTTTGTGGAAATTAAGAATTAACAAAATTTGTTGGTTAATTATTCAACATGGTTCCTTTTTCGAAATAGTTTGCATGGTGATAAATTTTGCAAAACTTCACTCATGGCAAAAATTTCCCCCTACATGAATATTTCCACATTTACAGTAGAAATAAGTTCATTTATCATGTACTTAGTAGTAAATACACCAATTCTGCACTGTGCAATATGGGTGACATCTCAATACCCCATATCAATGACAGGTCTGAAAACCCATATCATGTATCAGAATGGCATGTAAAAAATCCATAACTGGAAGTAATGTTAACTTCATATAAAGTTAAACAGTTAATTAACTTTATTTTTTTTAAATACATGCAGCATAATTTTGTATTAAAATGTGTCAACTTAATTAGTTTTAAAATGACATGAAATTGGTTATATTACATTTTAAAGAAAAAGGTTGTGTGCACAAAACATTCTTAAATGACTTTATGTGAACTCGCATATTAAATATTTGATAAATAGAATACATGTACTACATGATACTAAACTCTATATAATATGTCATATCAGCCCTTGGGCCAAACATCATGTACTTAGTTATAGTACTTAGATATGGGGCCACTCAGGCTGATATTACAATAGATATGGATTTTAGTATGTGTTATTCTCTATGTATTTAGTCGGGGGGGGGGGGGGGGGGGGGATAAAGAAGTCTCACTGTTGTCTTACACTAGATACCATCGCATCATACTTCATTTGATAAAGAAAGGAAGGACAAAGGTCGTTTGGGGTTAAATTCTGATAGAATACTTTTAGGAGTTAATACTAGGATTATGTTTCGAGAATGTATTCTGGATAGAGCCACTTCTGATAATCTCTTTCAGGCTGTCCCCCAGAACAACAAATGATGTATGCAGGGAGTGTACTCAGTTTAATTCAGACCCTGGGTCTCACAAAGGTAGGTGGAGTCAGACAACCTTAGTGTGCACATAATTATTATGTATTTTAATGGAAAGCTCGTTTCATGCCAAGTGCTATATTTCAAAGTAAAGTTCTGAAGGCAATAATTATGGCTAATAGTTTGATGATTTCCATACTTTAGAAAGTGAGGGAGTGGAAACTTTGACAAACTAATAGCAAGAAAAATGAAATTTAACAAGAATGGGAAAGTTAATGAGTAAAAACTGTGACAATTGTCAGCAATTCATCAATTTCATCCATGTTTTCACACTGTCAAAGCTGTTTTCACTTATTCAGAAGACTACACCTTATTGTTATTTCTGCACAACTAAAATAAAATACATGACTGATACTTTTATATATAAAGTGTAATTTTAATCTGATTTGTATCACATATATACGGTTTCATTGCAGACATTTGATGTTAGGAATCCAGAGGAATTCACAGAAGAGTGGCTACTGGAACAGTTAGGCAAGGTGTAACAGATCTCAAAAGACATGATAATGGACCAACAACACAACAATGTGGCTCACAAGTTCATCCAACATGAACCAATATTATCCTAAAAGAACCTCCTTTTGAAGTTATAAACCCTTTACAATGCTGGGCCAATATCTCACAAATCAATTTTAAAGCAAGGCAACTTACAAAGGGACCATATTTTTCTTTGTTCCCAACTTATATTTTATTCTTATCCCTTTTAAAGCTTTGTTTTGTATCATATCTAACAAATGCTTTTAGATATACATGTACATGTATCTGTCAATATTTATATATAAATTTGTTGACACTTGGTGATTGTGTCTTGTTTTTTATTCTTTATCTTTATTTATGCCAGATTTAAGGAATTCTTAAATCCAGTGTATTCTCTTAACATAGTGGTGGGCACAAAACTTTTGATCTGCATTCAGGGATAACTTTTCTGCATTCATCTTTAGTTGGACATTCTATGTGGCAATGTTTGTTTGTTTCTGAACAATTCATTTCATTTATATATAAAAAGCTTCTCCTCTGAAAAAACTGGCTAGGGTGAAAACTTACCGAGCTTACTGAATTTTAAAGAAAAGGTGTGTGTACAAGCAAGAAGGAATTGTTTAGATTTTAAAAAGAACTGGTTGAGCAATGGAGATGCTGGAATATTTCTCTTATAGCTACCTATCAGCCTTTGATCTTCACCTTTGAACTTAAATGTAATAGGCTTTGCCTCACCTAGCATCTGTTCTCTACCAAGTAAATGTATGTAAAATGGAAATACATACGGTATGTACATGCATGTAAAATGGAAATAGTGATATTTAAATTTTATCCATTTTTGTTGGACCTGCAACTCTAACCTCAAGACTTAAAGTCAAGGATTTTAAATCTTTTGCAGCAAGTAATAGACAGACCAGTCCTGTGGTACACATTCATAACAATGTTGACATTTGATCCTACATTGTGATCTTATAGTTTTCCATCCGAGTGAATTAAGCAAGAGTTATTTCCCCATGGCCACCATGCATATTGTAGGTCAACATGCCCCGATTCCTTCATTATTTAACCAAGTTAAACTTTTTATGCTGGGTGCTGAGGTGTAGAAAACACCGTTTTTCATATGAATATATTATATATATATTAATAAAAAGCATCTTTAAATTCCTAATTTTAATATTGTTCAGATTTTTCCTCATATATTTCTGCTATCCAGGTTTAATATTGGTTGCCCAAAGAGGGAAAAACCACTGATGACGGCCAAGGGGAATAACTCTGAGGCAAAATACGTCATAGGAAAACTATCTATATTTAATAAGCTTCTTCCCCTGACCACATTTGTACATGAATTTTGCACTGTGTGATTTTAAACAGACACAGAAACAGAATTTGTAATTGTTTATTCTTTATATTTACAACCTCAATAGAAAAAGATGTACATAATGTAACAATAAACACTAGTCATAGTGCAGGCCATGCAACAGATGACTTTTCACAGATATAATGTCCATCTACACCATAACACAACAATGGCTTCACAGGATGCAAGTACTCAATCTACCTGTGGGTTGTTCTGGAAAAGGAATTCTGCCTATAAAAAATAGAAATAGTGTGTAAGAAAAATAGATTATACATGTATAAATAAAGACAAGTTCTGCATAAACAAGAGATGTTTGTGAAACACTTATGCCCCCCACCCCCAAAATAATTGGAATTTTTCTATGTCCAAGGGGCATAACTCTGTCAAAAATTGCTCAATCGTACCCAAAACACAACTTGACCTAGATATTCTTATGATAAATCTGTATACCAGATTTCATTTCAGTATCTGCAACCTCTGCAAAGAAAATGAACGGAAACTGCAAATATTTGGAATTTTTCAAAGTCCAAGGGGCCTAACACTGTAAAAAATTGCCCAATCATACCCAAAACAGAACTTGACCTAAATATTCTTTTGAAAAATCTGTATATAAAATTTCATTTCAGTATCTGCAACCTCTGCAAAGAAAATGAACGGAAACTGCAAATATTTGGAATTTTTCAAAGTCCAAGTGGCATAACTCTGTCAAAAGTTGCTCGATCGTACCCAAAACAGAACTTGACCTAGATATTCTTATGATTAATCTGTATACCAAATTTCATTTCAGTATGTGCAACCTCTGTGAAGAAAATAAATTGAAACTGTTGGTGGACAGACAGACTGACCGACAGACAGCAGCAAAGCAATACGCCCTCCCTTCTTCAAAGGGGGGCATAAAAAATTAAATTTCTCCATGTTACACCAAAATATGTAATAATTCTGTTTACTGTGAATATTTATACAACTTACAATGTAATCAATGGGGTCATCAGGTCTAGTTTTGCAGCAGTCAATAAGGCCTTGGGTGAGAGTTGGCATCACATGTTTCATTAAGTAGTTCCTCAGTGGAATGGACTGTGCCTCCAAGAGTTCAAATTCCTCTCTCTTCACTTCATTCAAACGCTGTGTCTGTTGAAATTATGAGAATGAGATAAATTTCAAAACAGGCCTTTCAAAATAAATTGAAAGCATTAAATGAACTTTTCATAAGCATCTTGTTAAAGCTTCTACCAGTGAGAGACTTCTCTGAGTTGATCTCTGAACTTACCCACTCCTCCTGCCTCTGTTTACGGAGTGCAGCCTCTTCAGCTTCCTGTCTCTCCTTTTCTTGCTTTTCCTCCATCTCCTTCCTGAGGCGAGCTTCCTCCTCTTGTCTCCTCATTTCCTCAAGTTCCTCAGGTGTGGGACCTTAAATTAATACCCTGTGTTATTTACCAACATCTTAAGACTCGGAGCTTTCCTATTTAAGAAACTGTAATTGTGTACTTACTTAAGAACAAGATAAAAAATGAAAGTCAATCATACCATAATTTCTAGGTTCTCCAATGGTTTTCTTGATCTTTTCCACTGTATCTCTCATCATGGGAGAATCATCCTTTGTGACATCTATTTTTTCAGGGTGAAATTCCTTCTCATCAAAGTAGTTGAGGACAGTCTCTTCATCATTATTGAGGCTGCGGTACAATTCAAGTCTCTTCATAAGCCCATCCTCATCATTATGGGTTCCATGGACCACGCTCTCTGGCAGGTTCATCACACGCTGTCGTAAGAACTCATCATTGGCCTCCAAACAGAAGACGTAATCAGGCATGATTGTTTTATCAAACTTTGTAGCTGCTGATTCCTCTGCATCATCCTCTTCTTCAGCTGTTGACAGAGTAATATGTATTTCAAGAATGTACATGTTGTAAAGTAATGGAGGAAAGACCTGAAGCTATTCAAAGACATACCTAATATGCCTATATAGTTATAGTTACATTGCTAACCAGATTGTGTGTTATGTATGTTATACCATTACTTACTGGCAAACAGATCATTGGCTTGTTCTATGGTTTTGGGGAATCCATCCAGAATGAAACCCTGGTTCTGACAGGGCTTTGAATGCAGTTTGTCTCTGAAGAACTTAATGACATGAGAATCTTCAATTTTTCCGGTTTCCTGGTTTTTGGATTGTTCTATTTCATTGAGGAGCTCCTGGGCATCCTGTGCCTTCCCATCATCATCTTCTTGGTCCTCAGAATCTGCTCGCCTGGACAGTGTTTGCTGTCAAATTATCAAATTATAATTATTTGTGGACTTTATGTGAAATTGAAATTATAAAAGCAATGATAACCTGCACAAAAAACATTTGGGTAATAGTTTGTCTAGAGTACAATATATTCATGTAGATTTTGTTACTTTAGGCGATGAAAATTAAAATACTGAAAACAGATTTTGAAATGCATGTAAAATTGTTAACCCCACAAAATATCCCCTCTTTTAACATAATTATTTCCTGACATAAACATTGTTTGAATTTAATGTAAACAACAAACATACCAGTTCCTCCATGGCTTCATCGATAACATCCTTGATTTTGATGTGGTGGAGTTTATAGAATTCGCACAGTTTCTGACAAACAGTTGTTTTACCGGAAGCGGGTGGTCCCAGAATGCAAATTCTAAGAGGCTGTAAATTTTAAAATAACAACATCAGTATGTGCATGGCTGACTTAAATCTATGTATTATCACTGAAATGGAAGAAAGATGATGTGAAAATTGTTTTATTACCTGGAGCTTCCTTGAGTCTTTGTACTCCTTTATGATCTGGTCAATATTTTCTACCATTCCAGCCTCAGACACCCACATTATCCTCATATTCTCCTTCACAAACACAGCATCCATCCTCAGGTTCACCAGAAGCTGGTCGAAATCTGACTGCTGCAAACAAAACCACAAAAATATATCTCCTTAGCATGCAAATACTGTAAATGTAATTAGCATGTACAATATTTGGCACAAATTGATTTTACCGGTACAACAAATTAGCATAGATCTGGTTTAACGCTTTCTGAACACGCTAGATATAAATATATACATACAAGAAATTTAGCAATGTACTTGATTTAGCCATAGCTACTATCTGCCAAAGGTGCTAAATAGAATACACCCCCAAAATGTAATACAATTGCAGTAATCTGTTAATGGGATGCAACTCTTCACATTTTATGGAGATTATAAATTTGAAATTTTACCTCGATATCTTTGCTGAGAAGAGCCTCCTCCTTTGTGATATTTTTCACTTTACCCTTCCCAAGTTTTTCACTGATGGCCTGATATGGGAAAAATTCATACATCAATTTGGCAGATTAAACAATATATATTTTAAAACTTTTCAAAATGATAGAAAATTAATTATGAAACATTACAATGACAAACCTTGACTATTTCTTCCAGTGTGGTTTGAGTGTCATCCTTTGCTATCAGGTAACGCACTTTTGGTCGACTGTCAGCAATATTCTGTATGACACTATTACAGAAAATAAATTTATTTTATTGCTGGCTTTTAAAGGTTCAGAAAACATAACCCTAACTGTGTGCAATATATCCAATTTCTTTTTGACATTACACAACATTTGTCATTCTGTACTTACGCAGCTAAATCTTTAATGTGAATGGTTGGCACAACATTCTGACCACTTCCAAAACACTGTAGGTATGGAGCATTGTGCCAGGCAGACTGTGAAAAAAGAAAAAGCAAATGAATTTTGTGTTACTAGTACTTAATACTACAGAATATCTATTGTGACAATGGCTATCAAAGAAAAATTAATATATATATACATGTACTTACTTTAAACAGATAGTGAAAAATGTTCTCCTCTGCTCCATAGGTAAGCCCAGATGCCACAACATATGTCACAAGCTTAGCTTTATTCTGTGAACAATTCAAATAAATTCATTCATGAAATATCAACTTATTATCACAAACAGTTTACATATGCTATCCTATAAAGTTTGATTTATTTTGGAAATTCAGAGAGTTGGGCATGAGATTTTAACTTGAAATCTTAAAAGTTTTTAGTTATCATATGACACTCACTGTCTTTCCTAGTTTGATAACTGTCTTTTCAGCGCTGATGTGTTCCTTAAAGTTAGGATGTGGTTTTCTTCTTCTGTAATCATCCTCAGTGAATGGAATTTCTGGATCATCCTGCAAAGAAGAAAAGCCAAAATACAGTCAAACCTTGTTACCTCAAACTTGATGGGACTGAAAGAAAACCTTGAAATATCTGAGGATTTGAGATATTAAGGTTAAAATATATGTAAAAAAGATGGCAGGGACTTTCATCTCACTTCAATATATCTGTGGTATTCAAGATACTGGTGTTTGAAATACTGAAGTTTAACTGTAATTTTTCTTTCAAAATGCATCAGATATATTTTGTAAATACAAATCAGAATGACAGTTATATGTTGACTTACAGGATCCAGTGGTTTGCTCTTTGCCCATGTCATCACCGAAGAAATCAAAATAAACATTTTGGGTTTCTCCATCTTCTCCAGATCAGAATGAATCTCTGAAACAGCAAACAGTTAAGTTACTCAGAGGTAATGGAATTAACTGAAAGAAAAGGAATTCCACTTCATTACATTATTTTTTATTACACATCACAGTAATGAATTAAATTACAGGATACACTTTGGAATATACCAAAACCTTTAATTCTATGAAATATTAGCCAACATTTAACCCCATTCCCAAAACAAAGGCCTTTTTCCTTAATGCAGAAGAGATTTCCCAATTACAATCACCAGTAATTGGGTTGATAATATATACTATGTTAACAATTATGTTAAATTGCTGAAGTTCTACCATTATATGTATGTATGCAGAATGACATTTTGTCATATATTTTTATTGTTCAATTTCTCTTATACCCAGGTAAATTTTCCTCTGTCTTTACTAAGATTTTCAAAGACAACATAGATTTCATGATTTACCTGACACAGCCCATACTGCTTCATCAATCTGATCAGGATCCTCTGTGATGTCATACACAATGATGTCACACTCAACCAAATGTTCATACAGCTGATCTTTATTATCAAACTACAACAGATAACATTTAAGCATTAATAAAATGGTGAACATAATTGTTTATACTCTTTGAATAGGTTTGAATTGGAGGAGTTCCACTGAATGCTTTAATTCTCTAATCAACCCATGATCCTGTACCTTGATGACCTCCTTCATGAAATCTGGTTTAGGGGCTTCACGATCCTTGACAGTTCCCACAACTTCATAACACCCCTCCTTAGGGGCAGCAATGATGGAACTAGTGGTGGATCTAGCATCATCTTCCTCCTCTGGTTCTTCTAAGGAGGCCCCAACCACACATCGAGAAATGAACTAAAATAAAACATTATATGCATACTAATACTATGAATTAAAAACGTTATTCAACAAAAATTACTTCATTTGGTATAATATTTTTGTGATGAAAATTAACTGTTCTAATATAATCCTTTAGATAAATAATCTGAATCTGGCTTAATAATAGAACTTCCCTTATTTGCAGTCATGTTATGAGACCAAATGAATGAAACAGAGGCACGGAAACAGATGTATCTTATTAAAGCCAAGAGTCTCAAAATTCTATTTCAATCCATTTGAACTTCAAAACGGATGTCAAAATTATAAAAGTACAAAAAAAAAAAAAAATAAAAAAATAAATAATAAAATAAATAAAAATAATAATAATAATAAAAAATGAAAAAGTACATAATGTCCTTGGTAACTAGCAGGTCTAGTACAATCAGTACATTTAGCTACGTAGCTAAAATTACCTACCTTAGCTTTATTTACCTACCTCAGGTAGCTTTATTTAGCTATTTCAAGGCAACTTTTCACAATTTTCCTTTTTATTTTAAAAAGACAAAAAATCACAAATAAATGACCACTAATATTTATACCAGGGATTATTTAAAAAGCAATCCAGTGCAGAGATAGTTCAAACATTGCTGCATTTGAACACTTTTAAGGAAAGGATGTATTTCCATTGTTTGAGTAACTGTACACCACCTTGTGTGCGATGAGGCATGGATAAGTATGATTGCTTCTCATTGTGCTCATGTTAAGCAGAACTGGTTTTCTTTGCTATTTCATTCAAGAAGTAACTGTTTGGTCACAAATTAATTGTTGTATATAGCCCCAAAGGTTGTAAAACTTTGATTGAAATTGCGCAGAAAAAGACACATCTCCAAGAGTGATTTTTTCATGAACTGTTTTCAGATGAGCTTAAAGTTGAAAATTATCACTGCATCAAAGTGCAATTTTCTGCACATCCTGAGAAAAATGATAATTTAAGAAAAAAGTTTGATTCAGTAGCTAAATAAAACTACTTCAGGTAGGTAAGAAAAGTCAAGCTACGTAGCTAAATCTAGTGATTGTACCAGACCTGACTAGGGACAGAAATATAGGCAAATAAAATAAAATGCAATTAAATTATAAAAACTATTTTTTTCACTGAGAAATAATGGGTATAGAATGCACTCTTTAAAAAATTTGGATAAAAATCTAGTCCAAAGACAGATCAAATACACGTAGCTGTTAAATTCAGTCTTCACACACACTTAAATTGTAGTAGGAAAGAGTTGAATATATTGAACAACAAACTGTATTTATGAATAATATTTATATATCTGGTTTGTTTTAATTTACTGTTTATGAATACTGCAAAAACTTGATCAACTATTTTGTTTACATCAACGAGCCAACTTCGCAAGATTTAGATATGATGACCAAAGAAGTCTGAGAGAATCTACAGTGAAAACAGCCATTAATTCCTTTACACTAACCTTTGCAATATTTTTTCCTTGATACTGGTCGACATGATTGACAAAAATCCTTTTGCTTTTCGGTTTTTCTTCATCTTGGCTGGCCATTTTGCTTGTCTGTTGCTAGGTAGAAAGGGAAGTAACCGCAGGTACAGAAAAGTTTCTAAACAACTCGTACATAGTTGTTTCGGCTTGTGCTAACTTGCTTTTCAGTTCACCACAAGTAGTTATCGATGAGTTAGACGTTCTTCAGTAGCTTGATATTTGATTAAATAATGATAGAGTCTTCTGACATAGACACCATCCTTTTCACAACAAATGTCTACTATTTTATACTGTTTAACACCTTACAAACTAGATATTTTTATCATCATAATGTTATTGAAGTTTAACCATAAAATTAACAATTTTAATTAATTAAAAAAAATCACATTATAATTTACATCTTTATTCCATATAATTAAATGAAGTCATTGATATCTACATAAATGCACAAATGACTGACAAATATAAATAGCTTTATATTCCATTAAAATAGATGTCAATATTTAGAAGATACATGTATATTGGATACAATATTGCAAATTTTCCCATATTCTTTCCAGTATGTTATTTCAAATTTGGTAACAAAATAACAGCCCTGCACTTCTGCCATGATACATGAGCTGACATATTATTAATGATCTGCTAATGTTTCAGAATATTAAGTTTGGTTAACATGAAGTGTGTCACTGTAACAGAATATAAATTCTTTCAATGTGTTTATTATACTTTCAATTGCTATTATTTACTGAATTTGAGAATTTATTCATTACTACATGCACCTATCAGTTTAAAACAAGGTGCAGTCAATATATTACTAAAATTAAATAAAAAAATTGACCTTGTAAAATTCACAATTATGAAGTACATTGATTACTTTACAATAATCAATTTGACAATGTTTACGTAAAATAATGCAGAATGCATGTGTCCAAGTTCTTTGTCTATTTCAGATGTTCAGCACACTTTAATTCACTTGTACACTTGCATTCCACCTCTGTTTGATGTACAGCAAGTTGGTCCTGGAACACAAGAGCTACAATCTCCTCTGTTGTTTGTTGCTGGCCTTGATGAGACTTATTGAGAACAGCACCAGTGTAGTCCACAGTTTGATCTGTATTCTCCGAGGATTCTAGAAGATGTTTCATACTTGCTTCTTTACATTGTTCCAAAGATCTTATAATGTCCTTGGATGTAGGCTCTGTCTTAGATTTACCAGTTACCTTTTTCAGTTTTTTCTCTGAAAATAATTTCAAAACTATCATTCTCTATCATAGCTATCTAAAATCTGAATCAATCATCATAATATCAATCAGATCGTATTAACTGTAAAAATTTATCAAAGAACAAGTTTCAATCTTGACTTTGGGTTTTGATTATTTCTGTAAAGGACTTGGCACTTCTAGAGACAATAACACCAGTACTGTAAAGGTCCCAGTGTTAGCTTGGTATTGGTCAAGGAAGAAGAAAATAAATACTGGACAAGGAATTCTAATGAAGTTACAATCTGTGTTGAACTTGACCCTTAAGTAAGCATCTTTGATCAAGGTGACTTATCACTGAATACATCTTATCCCATGAATTAAATGAATAAATTTGAGTACAAAGAAGAAATTCCACATAACAAATTTGCTCTCAACAGTAGAAGAAAAAAAATCAAGAGGCCCATGGACCTTGATGGTCACCTGAGTTTGATGAGTTCTCAGGATATGACCACTTTTAATTATAGCTCCTCTTGCATGAGCAGATCTAGACTAGGGGTGGGGGTGGGGGAGGGTTCAGTGTGTCTGAAACCCCTGAGATTTTCAGAGTTATTAAATTTACATAATAAAATAACCATAAAAATGAGAAATAAATCTGTAGATTCCTTTTTTTTCGTGAGTACTTATTATCATGAAATGGCTCTTTAATATTGGATCAGGAGAACAATAATTCGCAAGTGGATGATTGATCAAGAGATTTGATGTGGATTTTAAATTAGCACCACAAAAATAAAAGCAAGTAATTTTATTTCAGGAGTGGGTTTTCTCGCGAAATTACGCAATAATTGATTCCTCACATATATTTAGGAATCTGTAGTATCAGAATGTGACAGATTACCTGTACATGTAATTGAGTTAAAAGTTTCAGCACAAACACTTAGAATTTTTATCAATATAAAGTTGTACCAGTAAATATAAAGCTCTAGATCGAAAAATCCCACCTAATCTATATATAAAAACACTTGAATTAGCTATATAGCTTGATTTAGCTATTCAAAATAGCTTGATTTAGCTATTTTATCATACTTTTTTTTAAATGTGCATTTTTTCAGCATGCAAACATTGTACGACTATGGTGCAGTGATAGTTTTCAGCTTTGTATTGTTCTGAAAACAATGTATGAATACAATGTACTACCAAACCAAGTCTTTGATAGTCTTTGCACTCTAAAATTTTTGGGGCTCATATATAAAGCAATTGTTTTGTGACCATTGCACTCAGCTACTTCTAGGGCCTATGACAATTCATCGAAAGACAATTCATTGAAAAAATTCATAGACATAACAACGCAATGATATGACAACTCATCAATAAGACAGGTCATAGAACAGAGATTTCATAAACATTCTTCAAGACTGATCAAAATAAATAAAACAAATTACATAATTGACATCTTTTTTTTTTTTGCTAACTCACTTTACACAACATACAGTATTTTCTACCCTTGAAGAAAAAGAAGATACTGTAATGTAATGTTTTTCTTGTAATATCCTTTTTGTGGAGAAGATCAATCTGGATTAATTTTTTAAAAAATATATCCTAATATTCAATGGGTCTGGTGGAGGGTTGTGTTCCTTTGTTTTTTCAAGGAAATTTTCATTCTTTATTCAGCACTTGAAATCTTTGGAGTTTCAGTGAGACTTAGCACCTTTTATTCTGTCGCAAACATCCTAATATGTATGCTGATTTATCTTTATTCATTTGACAAGATAAATAAAAAAATCATCCGTAACCTCAGTCATGTTCCGGATGAAAGTCATACAATACAACAAAAGAATGAAAAGTGTTCAAATCTTTTTTTTTTTTTAATTTTTAATACAATTTTACTTATTTTACTACCGTATAAGCAGTTTTTTTTTAATTTTGGCATTATTAGTGAGGGTTTTCAGATCGCTAAAATTGAATATCACTGACTATTTATTCCATATCGGTTGTTATAGCTATCTTTCTTGACATTATAAAATCGATAAAATTGCTTCTTGTTAAAAATATACATAAATTTTTGGGGGATAAATCGCTAAATTTGCATCTTGCTACAAATTCCACTTGTACTGTACAGTATTATTCATTATAATTGATGTTGATGAGTTGTTGCCATCAACAAGCTCTCTTTCTATGATTTGAGTTTTTACTTTTGTTTAGTTTACTTCTGCTGAATTGTACTCTTCGGATGTTGTCAATCATTAGACAAGTTGTTCGTAAACATTACTTCTTGAATGAAATTATAGCACAGGTCAATTCTGGTCAACAAGAAAATTGAGCACAATGTGAAGTAATAATACTTATCCATGCCTCACCACATACAAGATGGTGTACAATTAACAAAACAACAGAAATACATCTTTTACCTAAAAGTGTTTAAAAGCAGCAATGTTCAAATCCTTTATTTGGATTTCTTTTGTAATATTCCAGAGTACAAATCAGGGCTCGAAATATTTGATGGCCCGCTGGTCTGGGCCCAGTGAATTTTCAATCCGGGCTAGTACATTGCAGAAGGCATGTGCTCTTTGGGTCAGCATTTTTTTTTATGCAAAATAAAATTCTTTCACATTCAGGCTAGTTAACTTGACAGGGTTGTGTGTCCCAACTTCTGCTGTTTCTTGTTTTGTTAAATTGTACTTCTAAGTATCACAATAAAAAAAATATTACTATCATTATTATAGTTTTGGGCCAGTCTTTTTAAAATCTACTGGCCCATTGGGACAATAAAAGTACTAAGCTGACCAGTAAAAATTTAAGGCGATAGCCCAAGTGACCAGTAAACAAAAATAATTATTTCTAGCCCTGCAAATATGAGAAGTCAAATACTTGCGTCTTTCTTATAAAAAAGACATTTGTGAAAAAACTGTATTATTTTTATACTTTTTATTCTAATTTTAAATTGCTTCATAAAGCCAGGAACTTATATACTTACTAGTATATAGGTCCCTGATAAAGCTTTATAGCTATTTCAAGCTTTACAGCTAAATCAAGAGATTAAGCCAGACCTGTCAGTGTTAAAGTAAAACAAGTTAAATTACCTAAACTTTCCAGATATCTTTCAGATGAAATAAAATCGTGAGCTGGATCTATCAACGGAGGAACTGATGTCAACATATTGTAGTTCCTACTATATCATAATATCATTTACTAATTTATTATTAATTATTAATTTAGAAGAAAAAAAAAGACAAGATCTCTGTGTTATCGTTCCTCTTTCCTTCTACTGTTGTTTTTTTTCACTTCATGAAACGTTTAGGAGATGTTTGGTACTTTGGATGTTTGGTATAAACAACTCGTACGAATATCTCAGAAAGGGGCGTTACTCTATTTTCTATTTTTCGGAATGTAATAATAGAAGAAAAAGGTAAGTTTTACCACAACCTTTTCTTTTTACCAACCCGATTTGTGTTCAGCGTTAAATGCATAACATCAGGTTATTCATTCAGTTATGTGTTGAAAGGAGAAATCAAACTGCCAATGCTGCTTTGCATGTCACGAAAATACTGACCATGCGGATGTATGTATGAGGAACTCGATAACAAATTTATTCAAAACTCTGGTAGATCTATATCATTTAATACTATAAAGAGAAAAAGTATTGATATGTTAACAGGTCTAGCTAAACAGGTCGAGCATAATCTCTTGGTATAGCTTGAATTAGCTATATATATAGCTTTATTAGGCTATTCTGTTTTCAGAATATAAATCTGCTGGTATAATACTATCTGACTATATTGCTACATAAGTCGGCCAGTCAAAATATAAAGTTTAATAGTCCTAAATGTTTAGTCTTCATCCACATTACCTATGTCCTTTAATGGTAAAGTTTGAGAAAGAATGCATTTTTATCAAAAAAATTACTGACATTTCCATTGCACACACAAAGTGCACTGTATTGCATCGTGAATTTTATAACTGGTCTAATTTTTGTTATCTGTATATAAAATCATAGTTATATCAATGAGGGAGTCAGCAAGATATTCCTGTTCCTTGCAAGCAAGCCTATTACCCTCAGCTTGCTTTTGGGGAACTTAACCTTGGTTGACTCTCTCAGTGATATACTTTTAAGGCCATTCCAAGTTTTTTCTATGTTTAATGTCCACCCATCATTCAAAAATCTACCTACCTATTTGCAAAAAACACACAAGTCAAATAACAAAATACAGACTACATAGTCTTAAAAATGACGTCATTCAAAGCATTTGATTTCATTAATCTATTATTCTCTTACAGAGATTTTTTCTTAAGCTTTAGCAAAAACGAGGTATCAAATGCTTAAAATATACCTAATATGACATACTTTAGACAGATACTAAGAGAAATTGACAGAATTCAAAGATTTTGACCAAGATAATAAATTTCAGGACTCCTGATTTTGTTTGTTTTTTTCTGATATAGGGTGATAAAAACCAAGGCACATACGGACGCTAAACACAGAAAAAAACTTGGAATGGCCTAACTGTATACCGGTAATTATTATTTCTTCTTCATAGCAAATCAGCTTATAACATATACAGCATGGGTTACTTAAGTGACTAGAGCTGTATCAATATATTGATACGTATCGATATTCAAGAATGTGTCGTATCGAAGAAATAACTTCCAATACGTATCGGGCAGGCAGTTTTTCTTATAATTTTGTGAAAAAGTTAGGAATTTTAATCACCAAAGATTATATTTGACTGTTTTGAATTAAAACAGATCAATAATGATATAAACATTAAGGAGATAGGACATCTTAAATAATTATTATAAAATGCATAGTTATTTTTTTTTAAACATGTTGGTCTTACAGTTATTAAAAGTTTGAATTTGAAGTTTTTTTTTTTGTAATGACAGTAAGACAAGAACTTTTAATTGTTTATAAAACATTCATTTTTTATAAATGTTATGCATTAAATGATTTACAAGAGTTTTTTGATAGACTTGTTAAAGTATCTGATATATTGCATATCGCTTTATAAAATATCGTATCGTATAGAAATTTTTTGCTCAATACACAGCCCTATTAGGTGACTTTTAGTAAGGGTATTTATTATTAATTTGTCTACTCGGGTGTAAAGATTGGGTTGACTATATGTTAATTAATCAATACAGTAGTGCCTATTTCATGACCTGTATGAATCATGATATTGCCTGATCCATTTCCCTGGGGTGGCTTGTTGTATTGGTTGATCATTGGATTTTTTGCAGCTTCTTTACGTAATAACTAGGAAATTATGCATGCTGGTGTGTACTTTGTCAGTGTTTGAATATATTTACTTCTATGGTTGTTATTGCTTCTTTGTGCAGAATAAAATTTTCTTATATCAGATATTGAGGTAGGTATGTTTATATTCTTATATGGTGGGTACCGGTAGTTATTTTTACAGCCTTATCAAAATATTGTTTCTACAACTTGTTTTTTTATGCCCTAAGAAAACAAAAACACAACATTTTTTTAATCAAAAAACAGGAAGCAATATTTATAGATCTTTAGTGGCAATGTTATGCATATTTTTATGCCTTAAGAAAACATTTTACAATTAATTATGACTGTTTAAGAGCAGGAAGCAAAATCTGAGTTATTGATCTGCAGTTGCAATGCTGTGTATGTACATAAATGGTACTGGTCAAAAGAGGAGAGGCTTGCTTTTTTGAACTTATTTTATTTGAATAAAAAAAAATCAACAATTGTTGATTAGAGAGAAAATGCTATAGAACAGTCTGAGATTTGAACCCTTGCCCCTGTAAAGGTGCCTTTATACCTGATCCAAACCTTACTGATAACTGTTATTGAAAAGCAATATGCACATAAACAGCAGTGTTATTTATTGGTGTTTCAAATTTAGACACACTTATAAAAAAAGATTTATTAAAGCTGATAAGCTTATCAGCAGCATTCCTTCCCGTTTATAGAAAATGTTTTTCTTTCAGATAATTCTATCATTATTGTAAAACAGATGTACCCTTTACTGTATTAAATTCCTCAAGTATATAGGTTTGAAAATTTCTTTTATATAAGCTAATTATACTTATAGGTCAAAGAACTGCCATTTGAATATTTGAAATAAGAGTGAATCTTTGTTTTTCAGATTCTGTACCATGAGGGCCTGGGAATTAGCCCACTACAGTCTGAGGATTTTTTTCATCACAGTAGCCAACTTGTTTGGTATCCCTTCATACCTCACTTGGATTTTACTTCTCCAACCCCTGAAGCTATATTACCCAAAGTTATTTTGGAAAATTGAATCCATTTTATTCCAGGGACTTTTGACTATAGTAACGACATGGCTGTACTCAGGGGGATATACAAGTAAGCCACAATTGTTAAACAATCCTAAATATATCAACTTGTACATACTTCTGTGAAAATCAGAATATAAAAGTGTTGGTTTATGATATTTCCATACTACCCTTTTAGCTTGTGCAGAACCTAGAGGCTCATGGGCCACAATACCCACATAAGTCACATTGGCCTTGCTTTTCTCCAGAACATTGGCCCAACCCTAGCCTGAGGGGCCATGTTTTGAACAAACTTGAATCCACACTACCTGAGGATGCTTTCATATAAAATATGACTAATCATGATCAGGTTTTTCTTTACAAGATTTTTTTAAAAAGATTTTTTTCTTTCATTCTCCACCCTACCCCAGGAGTCAAAACTTGAATCTTTATGACTTGAAAATATTTGCATATATATTAATATCATTAATCATGGCCATATTGTTTGTGAAAGGAATATTTCACAAGATATCCATGTAAAACTTTGATACTCTATTGTAGCTCCACACTATCCATGGGGGGGCCGTGTTTTTAACAAACTAGAATCTGCAGTGTCTGAGGATGCCTGCATATTTGTTATACTTGAAGTTGAAAAGAAGTTTTTAGTTTTAGGGCTATATCGATAATAACGATCGATAATATAGATTCTGTGTGAGGATGATACACATATCGATATGTATGAAGAAATATCGAAATATCGCCCAAAAAATTCTGACTTATGTTTTTCTTTGATTACATAAAATTTTGGGTTTAATACATAAAACAAATATGCTAAATATGAATATGAAATACATAATAATTCACACTACTGGTGTAAAGTAATTTTGTTTTACAACAGATAAACAACTTCTTTGAATAAATAATTCTTATTTGTGAAGAAATGTTTTGTTCATTTCAATGCAAAAAAAGATTTTATAACCAGTTCAAGATATCGTGATACATATTGTATCGTGGCTGAAATATTGTTATACGTATCGATAAAGAAAAAAAATGTATCGTCCCAGCCCTAATTTTTAAACATACTTCTATGTAAAACTTTCATCTGCTTTTGGGGCCCCACCCTAAATCTACACCGGAACAGAATATTATTCAACATCAATAAAAAACTGTACAATTAATTAGGGCCCCGCTCTGCGGGTGCCCTATAGTGATCAGTCTGTCTATCCGTCCGTCTGTCCGTCTGAGATCTCTTGTCCAGAGCATATCTTCTCCCTCCTTGGCCCAATCTGGCTCATACTTCACTCACATAGTGTCTTTGGGTAAAGGGTGTGCAGTGACCTTGAACCATGTTTCTAGGTCTAAGGTCAAGGCCATAGCAGAATTATATGAAAAATCCTTGCCCCGAGCATATCTTCTCTCCTCTTGGTCCAAGGTGGCTCATACTTCACTCACTGAGTGCCACTGGTCAATAGATATGCAGTGACCTTGAACGAAGTTTTTAGGTCAAGGGTCAAGGTCAAAAAAAGCCTCTGTTTAAATTTTTGTCCAGAGCATATTTTCTCTCTCCTTGGCCCAATCTGGCTTATATTTCACCCACAGAGTGTCTTTGGGTAAAGGGTGTGCAGTGACCTTGAACCATGTTTCTAGGTCTAAGGTCAAGATCATAGCAGAATTATATGAAAAATCCTTGTCCGGAGCATATCTTCTCTCCTCTTGGTCCAATGTGGCTCATACTTCATTCACAGAGTGCCACTGGTCAGTGGATGTGCAGTGACCTTGAACGAAGTTTTTAGGTCAAGGGTCAAGGTCAAAAATAGCCTCTCTGTTTAAAATCTTTGTTCGGTGCATAATTTCTTTCCCTTAAGTCCAGTCAGCCTCAAACCTTACCAATTGACTTAGGGTACGGATCATTTGTGATTTTCCTTCCATATTTCTGATAGAGGATATGCAACAATTTTCATAGAGGATATGCAGCATTTATGTGATATTTGTGCCGTTTTTTGATGGAAGGTGTTGAGCACTCGTGATTTTCGTGCCATTTTTTATTATAACGAGGATAACATGGAAGCCCTTTATACTCAAACAACACATCCCTTAATAGTACACAAATGTTCCTCTTCAAAATAAACCCTTTTCAGCTACCTTACATTTCCATGTTCATTGCTGAAAGCGGGGCCCTTTGAGATCGCCACCATCTCAATGATATCTAGTTATCATTATAGCAATCACAAAACATGTTTTATTGGTAAGAATACAATTCAATTAAAAAAAAAAGAAAGAAAGAAACAGAAAACCCATTTTCAATAGGGTCATTTCAAGTCGGCCGAAGGAATATTTGGGTAAGGCCATACTGTGCTGCGATGGGCCGAAATACTGAGAATGATCTTTGAAATGTAAATGCCTATGCATGGTTGCTATCATTGAAATATAAATGTTTACATGGTTTATTTAATACTTATATCCACCAAAACATGTCACATGACCTCTAAAACTTTTAACATTCATGATATACGTATATATTTACCGCTGATACTTCTATTCAGCAGATAAGTTGGAGCCAAGGAAAGAATAATTTTGAACCCAATTGCACACAACTCAATACTCAATATTTCACATTAAAAAAAAAGAACTATAACTCTAAAATATTGAATCTTTTGTTTAATTTGATCTATTTATATTTCTGTGATAGCAATAAAAAAAAAATACAAAAATAATAATTGCAACAATTATTCAATTTAGCAAGGAGCAATTGACATTGACCCCGACATAAATTATCAATTCCCTGATGCACTACTCACCCACTGACTCACAAGCACAAATTTACTTTATCCCCTCCAACTTCATTGTGAGGGGATAACAAAATTAAATCTGCAATATCTGGGGATGCTTGCATTAATATCACTAATCATGGTCTTACTGTACTAGAGAAGATTTTTAAAGAAATTTCCTATATATTCTCATGTAAAACTTTGATCCCCTGTTGGGACCCCACCCTAGCCCAGCTAGCACCAAGATTTGAACAAACTTGAATCTGGACTACTTGGGGATCCTTGCATATTAATATCTCTAATCATGGTCCTACTGTTCTTAAGAAAAAGATTTTTAAAAAAATATTCTATGTATTCCCATGTAAAATTTTGATCCCCTGTTGTGGACTCAGCCTACCCCTGGGGGCCATGACATGAAGAAACTTGAATCTACACTATGTCGATCGGGAAGCTTTCACTTAAACTGCATCTTTTCTGGCCCAGTGGTTCTTGAGAAGATTTTTATGATCCCTACCCTTTTTTTGCCTTTTCTTAATTAACTCTCCTTTCAAGACGCCCTGGCCCTTTGTTTGAACAAACTTCGATTCCCTTCACTTAAGGATATTCAGTGCCAAGTTTGGTTGAAATTGGCTCTGTGGTTCTGGAGAAGAAGATGAAATTGAGAAAAGTTTATGACAATGACAGCAAAAATGATGACAGACAGACAAATTTTGATCAGCAAAGCTCTTGAGCATTTGGCTCAGGTGAGCTTTAAATTGATGCTAAATATTATAAGCCTACCCATGTCTATCAAATAAATATTTAACTTTGAATTTTTAAAAATGACTAACAGACACTCTTTATATGTACCAATATTACTTAGAAATATACCATATATAAATTACCGGGTAAGAATGCAATACAAGGGCAGCTGTTTTAACTAAACAACACTGCTTTGACTCCACAATTACTTGACAATATATATTTTTATTAACACACTAAATCTCACATTATTTATAAGGTAAAGGGCTAATAATTCTTTTTATCATATTTCCTAAAATAAAACTCTTATATTAAGTGCCTTAATTGTTTGATTCCTATGATATACATAACTTATGTATATTTTATTTTAATATGTAAATATTGCATACTTTCCAATGTTCTCAAATTGAATTTCAATCTTTGTAGTAATAGAGTCTGGAGACAGTTTGGAAGGGATCATGAATGATGAAGCAGTGGTTCTTGTAAATCACCAGTCTACATCAGATGTTCCGATTGTCATGTCTGCCCTTCATAACAAAGGTCAGGTGATTGGGAAGGTCATGTGGGTCATGGACGACATCTTCAAGTATACAAACTTTGGATGGATTTCTTATTTCCATGGGGATTTTTTCATTGTTCAGGTAAAATAATGCTTGAAATAGGAATACAATTTTACTGAGAGTTTTTTAAGTGCTGTAAATTTCATTTAAGACCAAATGTGTTGTATTTTTTCTTAGGGAAAAGAAGCAAGAACGAATTCTTTAGAGAAGTTACAAAAACACATAAATGAAATATATAAAACAACATTCAAAAATTGGATCATCCTGTTTCCAGAGGGAGGGTTCCTTCGAAAACGTAGATTTCGGAGTCAAGAGTAAGTGTATATTTTCTATAATTCAGCAAGTTCCTTCCAGTGAAGAGACAGATGTTTTGATTCTTCATTAATTTTAAACAATCTACACTGTTTTATTATTAACATTTTTAACTCTTACAGATTTGCCAAGAAAAACCATCTGCCAGTTCTTCAACATGTGACCCTGCCCCGTGTAGGGGCACTTAAAGTAATCATGGACAATCTGGCATCACAGACTGGAGTTAATGGGAATGTAACAGGTAAGGCAGGATCAATTAACAAAATTATTCTGTGTACCCTCGCAATGAAATTGACTGTGGGAGGGTTATACTGGAAATGAAATCACTGTGTCCATCTACTTGTATGTATATAGACACATGGTGTCGGTGTTCAGATCAGTCCTGAGTTCATCACAAATAATATATCTGAATGAAAATTGCACAGAAGATGTATATTTGAATGTTTAGTCTAATACATGCTTCAGATGCTGCATATGACCTACATTTCACATTTGAATGATTCTGGTTAAGGACAGCATTTAGGCATAAACCAATATATAATCTACACTTGTTGGGCATCATACGATGATACAGTTGAATCATGCATTGGATGTTGTATCTAACCTGCATTTTGTACTTCAAAGGCTTGGGAGAAAGCCAGGATTTAGTTTGTTTCAGCACATTACAGTGCAATCATCATTATATAAATTTATGTTTTTTTCATTGCAGTATGTATTCATTCAAAATATAATATGTCTACTGTGTAGAGGATGCTCTTGCAGAGGTGGGGGTCCCATTAAGACAAATCTAGATAGAATTCATTGGGAAATGTAACTCCACAGGTTGAGAGATGGGTCAATTGCTATTTTTATATTGTCACATTGGAAACAGAAACTGGCTTTTTCCAGCAGATTTATTGTCCCCCACTTCTGTGAAAGCGAGAGGACATTAAATCTCATTTGTCTGTCCATTTGACTGTCTGTCACAAAAACTTTAAACTTGATAATAACATTTGCATGAGTAAAGATAGGACTAAAATATTTCAGGTGCATTACCTGTGACAAGTCTAGACCTTTTCAAATGTACAATGATTTTTGACCCAAAAACTTGAAGTTTGACCTACTTTCAAAAATATTACCGGTAGTATTGGTAATAACTTTTGAATGATAGAAGAGAGTTTTCATTTTTCACGTGTACTTTACCTGAGACAAAACCTTTCTGATTGTACTATTATTTTTGACCCCATGACCTTGAGGGTTGATCTACTTTTTAAAATTTTTAATTAACATTGGTAATAACCTTTGAATGAGAGAAGATAGGACTTTCATATTTTACATATGCATTACCTGTGACAATTAGACTTTCTGAATGTACTACATGTATAATTTTTTTACCCAAAGACCTTGACCTTGAAGTTTGATCTACTTTTCAAAAATTCTGTCTATCACAAAAAATTAATCTTGGTAATAACTTTAAATGAGTACGGATAGGGCTCTAACATGTGCATTACCTGTGACAGGATCTTTCCAGTTGTACATGTACCATGCTTTTTGACCCCCAAGACCTTGAAGTTTGATCTACGTTCAAAAATTTTGTCATTGGTTATAACTTTTGAATGAGAGAAGATAGGACTTTCATAATGCCAGAAATCATTGCACCCCAACTAATAAGACCCTGAAAGCAGCAATTCTCTGAATTTGCTTGTTATGTTTAACAGCAAATTGTATTTGACTCAATCTGCCTATTCTGGTTGTGCAGTGAGATGAGTATAAAACCAAGTCTGTACTGTCACAATTTGTCCTGCTCTAGAGAACTTAAGGAGTATAGGGTTAAATAGAAAGACAGCCACTTAGGATTAGTTTAATAAAAAGTTGATTCAATAAATTTTTGTGATGGAAAGTCGTGTAATGTTCTTCAGATAGGTTTGTTACAACGCACTTTGAAAAATTACGCACTTTGAAAAAATTTTTCATAGTGCGTTAATTTTGGGACCACGTTAACGCACTTTGAAAAAAAAATATTTCTTTTCAAAGTGCGTTAATATGGACCATATTAACGCACTTTGAAAAAAAAATGTGCAAGGCTTGGTCATATTCTTGCAAATTTTAGGTATGATAAATAATTATCTGAACCTGGTTGGATAACTTTTCGATGATGACGTCAGGATATAGACGTTTTAAAGATTTTTTAGGAGTTGTCTTGTTTCCAATGGTTCTCTTAACTGTTTTAAAAGGGAAATGGGTCTTTTAGAAATAATGGAGGAATGATTGTTTCATATCACAGTTTCGTTTCTTCTTTTCTTTTCTTTTTTAAAATTTTATCCAGTTCTCTAATGTTTGGTAGATGTAGGGTCGATAAGTGACTTAAAGCATCTCATTTTTCTTAGGGAAAAGGGAGCAATTATGATTTTTCCATACCATGAATATTCTCACTCTCTCTCTCATCTATCTTTCTATCATACTCATCTATCTATCTATTGTGAGCATATGTGAAACAATGGTTGACTCATTTATTTGATAGTAATAAAATAAAACTTAGCCACATTACTCACTCGACTGAATTTTTTACCTCGTTCACATAACGTTTTCTCAAAAAAGTTATGCAGTCAGATTACTTCTAAATCTGTAATTTGATATCATAAAAAGCGCTAGACATGTCAAATGGCATGTTTTAATTACCATGTAAATGCTTTTTTCTGAGGAATCATTGTGAATACATTTTGAATAAAGGTTATCTCAATTTTTTCATCTATTTTACGTTAGCTCAAATTTATTGAGAGAAATAATATCAATGTCATACCAGTTAAATAAATACATATATTTGTGTAGGAAAGATAGAGAGTTGGGCTGAGGGACTTTCTACCTGTCTTCTCCTCGTTCTCGATGAGGGTAGATCAATTCATCAGTTTTTCGGAAGAAATATAACAAATTAATGCTGTCTATTACTAAAATCTAAGTCCAGAATTTTTGTTTTATACGTATTTTTTCAAAGTGCGTTAAGTGTCTCCATGGTAAACAATGTTGATGTACACTCTTAACGCACTTTGAAAATTTTTTTCAAAGTGCGTTGATTTTGTCCCAAATTTAACGCACTTTGAAAAAAATTTTCAAAGTGCGTTGATTTTGTCCCAATTTTAACGCACTTTGAAAATTTTTTTCAAAGTGCGTAATTTTTTCAAAGTGCGTTGCCACATAGGTTAAAGATATTTTATGATATTAACCCTTCAGAGTGAAATACTGGTAAGACAATAAGGTAAAAGGTAAGAGTGATCATAGATTATGGAATATGTTAAAATGGAATTGAATGAATGACATAACATATATTTATTTACAGGAAGCAGATCAGATGAAAAAACACTAAAGTGGGTTATAGACATGACCATCGGATATCCCGGGGCAACTCCATACAACTCTCATGGCATGTTCGTAGGATACTGGCCCCCCCATAAAGTTGACATCCATTATCGTGTGTATCCCATACAAGAGGTTCCCACCGAAAAGGAATCCTTGACAAAATGGTTATATGATCGCTACACAGAAAAGGAAGTTCTCCTACAGGAGTTTTACACAAAAAGCAAACCTTTAGATGAATCAGATAACCAGAAGCGAATCATGCCCAGAATCAAGCGTCATGATCTGGTTATTGATAAATGTATAGCTAGCCTTTTCTACCTGCTTCATTTGTGTTCATTTATAGTTTTCTGGTTTTATTTATATTGTCCTGTTTTAAGGATAATCAGATTTGTAACGAGTTTTGTATTTTAGATTTTATGAAAGAATATTTTTACTGTTATTTTATTATTTTTGTGATGTACAATCAGGAATTTTCTTCATCATATTTACTGTAACACCAGTGAACTGGTGCATTTTACTCACATGTTCTCACTAAATGTCCACAGATTGAAATAAAAAGTATTAGTTTTCATATAGACTTGTTTAATACTTGAGATCTCTTCAAACAATATTGATTTATGACACTTCTTTTTAGTATTGTTCTGAACTTTGAATTATTTCATCCTCTCTTATAAGATTCTATGTAGGTATAGTTAATTTAAGGTTCATGGTCCTCCTGCATGTTCACCCATAAAAAATTTTGCTTCAATGCTAAATTATGATTTTCAAAAGAAATCTAATTCATAATTAAAATGGATGCAATTTCAGCATAACTTGTTGGGCCAAATTTGACTGATTTAGGAATGGCCTTTAGTTTGATAATTATATAAAGGAATTATAGTCATTTATCCCAATCATACTTATCTCTCTTAACAGAGGGTCAATGAACCTTAATCTTAATGTACTGTAGATCCTGCATATCATAGGTGATGCCTGTGTATATACTAGTAACCAGAACAAAGTTTAATGTACAGGAATCAGCTTTGCAATGTGTTCATTTATCAAGCTTCTGCCAATATTTTCCTTCATATAAAGTGTGCCTGTAAGATTTTTCACAGTGATCTAAGATGACAATTACTTGACTTAGTATAAATATCCTGATTACATCAACATCAGTATCTGTTAAGATAATGCATATAGTATGGATGTTTATTTTGAAGATATAGGGTTCAGGAGGGCAGTATGTAGATTTGGCATTATAAAAGAAAAATGTGTTTTAAGACAGCTAGAAAATATTTCTGACAAAATGTGGGAATTAGAGTAATATAGCAATAAATGTAAAGGAGATCATTTGAGATATGATTTAATTATCATTGCTCTTTCCAGAATTTGGTCATTCAGTGATAGAATGTTGCACAGGCTACCTTTATAGAAATAGGTACTTATTTTGTTCCTTGTCTTGCCAGCCGAAGAGTTAGTGTTGGATTTTTATTATTATTATTATTATTAAATGTATTATGCTGTAGATATAAAGATATACTAGATTAAGCTGTATTTTTTTAGTCTTTCAGCAATATCATTCATGTTTATTTATATACATATATGCGAGATTGAGTGAACTGCAGTCTTTACATGATTTTAAGTCTTGTACATTAATATTTCTCAAATGCCACCATTTGATATTTGTGTAAATATACCAGGACTAGATCTTGACATTCCTGATTTCTTGTATACCTCAATATATTACTTGATTTATTTGAGAAATAAGAAAAACATGTATAAATAAATATACCAGGAATACATGTAAATCTAAGTTCAGCTACCATACTGTAACTTTCAAGACTTGCACCATCGTGGGATTCTTATGGTATTACAAAATTTAATGTAAGATTCTGGTATGCCAACTTTTCTTTGGATACCCAGTACATGGGTTATTTTTGTCCCATTTTACATGAAGTATTATTTTTGAGTACGTGAAAACTTGCCCCTTTTAGGTCACCTGAGTCACTCAGGTGACCTATTGCTATCTCTTTTTGTCCGTCATCATGCGTCGTCCGTCGGTCGTAAACTTTTGAACATTTTCAGCTTCTTCTCTGGAACCAGCAAACCAATTTCAACCAATTTTGGCATATAGCATCTATGGGTGAAGGGGAACAAAAATTGTGAAATTCGTGGCCCCTGCCCCCCAGGGGCCTGAGGGGTGGGGCCAAAACCATCAAAATTAATACAATCTTTAAAAATCTTCTTCTTTGCTCCTGGACATCAAGCAGTCAAACTGTTGGCATGATTGTAATAAGCATTGAGCCCTCTACCAAAATTGTGAAATTCATGGCCCCAGGGTTAGGGGTTCTGGTGCTAGGGCGGGGCTATATAGATCATATAGTGAAAGTGCATTATTTCTTTGAAAATCTTCTTCTCTACTCCTGGGTATTACTGAAACAAATTGAATACATAGTTATGATAAGCAAGGGTGACTCTACCAAAATTGTGAAATTCATGACCCCAGGGTCAGGGGTTCTGGTGCAAGGGCGGGGCTATATAGATCATATAGTGAAAGTGCATTATTTCTTTGAAAATCTTCTTCTCTACTCCAGGGTATTATTGAAACAAATTGAATACATAGTTATAATAAGCAAGGGTGACTCTACCAGAATTGTGAAATTCATAGCCCAAGGGTCAGGGGTTCTGGTGCTAGGGCGGGGCTATATAGATCATATAGTGAAAGTGCATTATTTCTTTGAAAATCTTCTTCTCTACTCCTGGGTATTATTGAAACAAATTGAATACATAGTTATGATAAGCAAGGTTGACTCTACCAAAATTGTGAAATTCATGACCCCAGGGTCAGGGGTTCTGGTGCTAGGGTGGGGCTATATAGATCATATAGTGAAAGTGCATTATTTCTTTGAAAATCTTCTTCTCTTCTCTTGGGTATTATTTAAACAAATACATGGTTATGATAAGCAAGGATGACTCAACCAAAATTGTGAAATTCATGACCCCAGGGTCAGGGGTTCTGGTGCTAGGAGGGGGAGGGGCTATATAGATCATATAGTGAGAGTGCATTATTTCTTTGAAAACCTTCTTCTCTACTCCTGGGTATTATTGAAACAAATTGAATACATAGTTATAATAAGCAAGGGTGACTCTACCAGAATTGTGAAATTCATAGCCCAAGGGTCAGGGGTTCTGGTGCTAGGGCAGGGCTATATAGATCATATAGTGAAAGTGCATTATTTCTTTGAAAATCTTCTTCTCTTCTCTTGGGTATTATTTAAACAAATACATGGTTATGATAAGCAAGGATGCCTCTTCCAAAATTGTGAGTTTCATGACCCCTGGATCAGAGGTTCTGATGTTAGGGCGGGGCTTTTTTTTATTATATAGTGAAAATGCATTAATGTTTTAAAAATCTTCTCTGCACCTGGGCATATCAGAGGCAAAAAGAGTAAAAGTTTTCATAAGGAAGGGTATTTTTACCAGATTTTTGAACATCAGGACCATTTGGTCAAGTGTTCTGGTCCAGGCCAGGGCTCTATTATTTTGTATTCTACTGAGAGGAGTTATTCCCCTTTGCCATTTACTTGTGATAATTAAACACTGTAAATATTGTACTTCAAAGGTTAATAGAAAAAGAGAATTATGCAAGAATTTTTATTGTATAATACAAAAAGTACTTTCATAGTTTTAATGATCAGGTAGACTTGTAAGTAATAGATAAATAAAATTGAGACAAAAATAACTTCTCATATTAAATGTTCATCAAAGACCATGCAAGAGAGGCCAATGTTAGAGATTTCAACAAGGAATTAAAATAGTTCAGAAGCACTGATAGTTTGTTAATATACTGTATATTGAGAGTGATAAATAGGAAGCAGATTAGAACCTAATTTATGATCTGTTAATGAATACTAGACTTATTATTTTGTTGATCCTGATCACCCTATTTTTCTTGCTTTTGGGCAACAAAGCTTCACCTTTCAGTTCATTTTCTACTCTATGGATCCTCTAAGTTGTTGTATTATACTCAGGTGACCATTAAGGCCCTTGGGCCTCTTGTATGATTAGTGGAGTATGATTAATAAACTTATTCATAGTACTTAATCATCTCACTATAATGTATATTTACTTCCTGTTTCACCATTTTGGTCACTTTCATTTACCTTTTTGAAAACAATATTACAGTGTACATGTATCAAGATCTGTACAAATAGAAGTCCAAATATTATTTACCGTTATATGGTAATAAATGTAGTTTGGTATACTAGCTGGTATTGACAATATCTTCTTGAAATGATTAAAAGTTTTTTGAATTCTGAGAAATTTTATATGCTGATTTTTTATCATAAAATTCATATATGTATTCAAATGATTAAAAAAGAATTGTTTACAAGTCTCATTTATTTTTTTTAGTTAAATTCTTGTCCTCCATATTGTACCCCCCTTTTTTCCATCTGGCATACAAATGTAGGTCACGTTAGCCTACTTTTGCAATTTTTTAGCTGTTCATTTCTAATTGGTATAGATAAATGTCCTTAAATGAGCTAAAACAATGAAACATACATTGTAGGCTGATCATGATGCATCTTGAAAATTTTTAGTATGAGAGCCCAAAAGTCTACTTTGGAAATTTACATTTTGCACACTTTAAGGTCAAAGACCATCAAACTGTCAGTTGATGCATCATATGGGATCATAGCATTACAGACAACCTAAAGAAAGGAAAGGTTACTTTGACCCTCCTTTTGGAAATAAATAGCAATTTATTTTTAGATCATGTTTCATTACATATACTGGACACTAAAGGTCCTAGAATTATCAAAATTGTCTATCATGGGGGCATCAGGGTGTGAAAATGCAAAAAATGTGTGACTTAATTACTTTTGGAATGTATTTTCAAATCCTATTTGCATCACATATCACGATGGGACCTAGTTTCATTTTACTTTGTTGATTTATGCATTTTCGGGTCATCAGGGTGTGACAACCCCTAACCTTTTTTCTGTACGTTTTGGCTATTCATTGTCACTTAAAGATACATATCCCTCACGTTACTACTGTAATCATTAAACTTTTTTAAAAATTAATGCCTCGTGGGGCCTCTGAGCAACAGCACACCAAAAGTAAAGGGCACATGACCTACTTTTAGATTTTTTAGCTTTTCATTTTCAAGTTGGATAAACTACAATTTGAATTTTGCACCTATGAAGAGAAAAATCAACAAACATTGTTGATTGAAGCATTTTAGGGTTTTGAGATGTTACTCTCAAAAGAAGATTACTGTGATCTTGGTTCAATATATATCCTTCACACTAGGAATATTAAATCCTGTCAGTTGAGGAACTGTGGCAGCCACGGGTACAATATATAATCCTAACAGGAGGCCCAAGGGCCTAAACGGTCACCTGAGTATAATTAACAGAAATGTGAAATACAACAAACTGATAGATGAAGCTATGTTGCCCAAAAGCAAGAGAAATATTATTTGTCTCATTATTTTTATTTATCTATAACAAGTCTACCTGACCATTAAGAATTATGAAAGTGTTTTTTGTATTATATATTATAAAAGTTCTTGTATAAGTTCCTTAATAAATTTGACCTTTCAATTACATTATTTACAGTGATTAATTATCTTAGGTGAATAGCAAAGGGGAATAATTTTTCTCAGTAGAATACAAATTAATACAGCCCTGCCCAGCATTAGAACACTTTGCCAAGTGGTCCACTTGAGTCCTGACTCTGGGGGCCACAAGTTTCAAAATTTTGGAGGATACACCCTTGCTCATCATAATTATGCAGGTAGTTTATTTTCTGAATATCCAGGAGCTGAAGAGAAAATTTTAAAAGAATTTATGCATCTTCACAAGATCATCAATAGAGCCCCCCCCCCCCTCTCCTCAATGCCAGAACCTCTGACCCAGGGGTCACAAAATTCACAATTTTGAAAGAGACACCCTTACTCATCATAACCATGCTCTTAATTTATCTGCTAAATATCCCAGATAAGAGAAGAAAATATGTAAAGAATTTATACATTTTTTACATTGTAAATAAAGAGCCCCACCCAAGCACTAGAACTCCTAACTTAGGAGCCATGAAATTCATAATTTTGGAAGAGGCAGTCTTGCTTATTATAACCATGCACTTATTTTACCTGCTTAATACCCAGAAGCTGAGAGGAAGATTTTCAAAGAATTTATGCATTTTCACTACTTAATCAAAAGAGCTCCACCCTAACTAGAACACCTGACCCTGAGGCCATGAAATTCAAAATTATGGAAAAGTAACCCTTGCTCATCATAACTATGCATTTAGTTTGTTTTCTTTATACCCAGGAGCAGATAAGATTTTCAAAGAATTTATGCATTTTCAGTATATAATCATATTCCCCCCAACACCAGAAACCCTTACCCAGGGACCATGATATTTATAATTTTGAAAGAGGCACCCTTGCCCACCATAATTATGCATCTAGTTTGTTTGCTTTATACCCAGGTGCAGAAAGAGTATTTTAAAGAAATAATGCATTTTCAGTATATAATAAATAGAGCCCCAACAACACCAGAACCCCTGACCCAGGGCCCATAAAATTTTGGAAGAAGCACCCCTGCTCATGATAACTATGCACTTAGTATGTCTTCCAAATTCACAGGAGCAGAAAGGAATTTCAAAGGAATAATGCAATTTCTCCATATAATCAATTGAGCCCCACCCTAACACAAGAACCCCTGACCCAGGGACCATGATATTCACAATTTCAGAAAAGACAGCCCTGCTCATCATAACCATGCATGTAGTATATCTACCAAACACGCAGGAGCAAAGAAGATTTTTAAAGAAATAATGCATTTCACTATATAATCAGTACAGCCCCCCTTACACCAGAACTGCTGACCCAGGGGCAATGATATTCACAATTTTAGAAGAGACTCCTTTGCTCATCATAACCATGCACTTAGTTTCTTTGTTTAATATACAGGGGA